GCTTGGATGATGGAAAAGATGGAGAGTGGTGCAACGAGCCCATGGAAAAACCCAGTGAACCAGTTATTTAGATTTATTTTTGTGAACGTTTGCAATGTTATTTCTTTAAAGTATTTGAATAACACTGAATGCGAGAACAAGTTGTGTTTTCTTCAAATGAATTACGTTCCGTTATTTTTTATTCAGTTTTTTATTTAAAGTATTCGAAAGGTAGTTGTTAAAATTATCATTATAAAAATTAAGCTTCCGCTAAAACATATTCTCCTATGACTAAACCATCGGTTAGTTAAGTAAAGTAAGTAGCGTTCTGATCCACAAGGGGTCGGGGCGTTATAGCGTGGTATCAGAGCGCGGTTTAGCCAGTTCTATAGACCAAGTACGTTTTAAAAAAAATGAAAAAAATGGTTTAGCCGGTTCTGTAAACCAAGTATGTTTTTTTTTTTAAAAATGAAAAAGTCTAAGATACTCCATGGCATCTTGCATCCATCCATCAATCTCATCCTACGGCCTAGGTATGTTTAAAGTTAATGTTTTCATGAAAAGACTATGTTATGATGCTTTGAGATGCTATGGTACAACTTATGCTTATTTTCATGCCAGTTAGAAATGATTTGAAAGATGTGTTTTTTATTCAAAAGATAAGCATTGGGCTAGAATTTATAGGTAGAATGTTATGTAACAGTAGCCATCTTTCCAAGAGTAAAAAAAAAGTGTATGATATGTGAAAATGCAACAGATTTGGCCCGTAGAATGGCTAGGGCATATAGAGAAGCATTGAACCGTAGAATCACCATTCAGTCCTATGAGAATTACATGATTAATCTGCTCCGTCCACTTGACGAATATATACATGATGTCTATGAGAGATGCATGACAGAGGTGAACGTTAGAATGGAGATAACGCATATTAAGGCTATAAATAACCTCATACACTCCCTTCCACCTCAATGGGGGAGATATGGGAGTCACAGTTAGGGATGTAATGCTAAAGGAGCACCCAAATATATTTGAATTTGAAGTGTATTGCCAATCAATCCTAGACCTATGGAGGGAAAACTTAGAACCTCAACCGGAGATAGTAATTGAACTTGATGAAGAAGAAGAGCCTGAAGAAGGGAATGATCCTGAGCCCGAGCCACAGGTTGAGATGGACATAGAATCTAGACCTGAGGCAAAAGACTCCTCTGGAGATGAGGCTCCACCAAAGAAGATCCGTAGAACTTATAGGGATTAGATTTAAATCCTTGTAATAACTTCTTTTATGTCAAGAAATAAAACATTATCTTCTTTGTTAGAATTCAAAGTATGAAACTAATAAGAACCATACGTTTTGTCTAAAGGAAAATGGCCCATGCAAACCAGATAAGAGATCTCCTCCAAGCCGTCCAAGACCTTGGTAGGCAAAACCCAAACTAGGCGCAACCCCTACCACCAGCTCCTAATGCTCCTTCAACCCATGCTTCAGTGGTCGAGCAATTTAGAAGACACAAGCCCCCTACCTTCAATGGAGCAGCTGATCCACTTGCAGCCAAGGAGTGGCTTTGCAAGTTGGAGAGAATATTCTGATTAATTGGGTGCACAGACGCCCTGAAGGTCCAGTGTGCTGAGTTTATGTTCTCCGATAATGCAAGCCACTGGTGGGACTCGATGTCAAGGACGAGGACCCCAAAGCAACAAGCGAAATTGACTTAGGAGCGATTTAAAGAGGAAGTAATGGACAAGTTCTTCCCACAGTCTTTGAGGGATCACAAAGAAAGTGAATTTCTCCAACTCAAGCAAAGGACTATGTCCCTGACTGAGTATGAAAGGAAGTTTGACCAACTTTCAAGGTATGCTCCACATCTAATGGATACGGAGGACAAGAAAGTCAGGAGGTTTGAACAAGGGTTGAACCCAGATATAAGCATGATACTTATGTCCCATCGTTTCACCTCATACCATGAAATGCTGGAAAGAGATCATGCTATCTAATACGAGAAGACTAGCGCCGAGCAATATAATCAACTGTTCAATCAATTGGACAATGGCAGTATGGGTAAAAGGAAATGGAATGGCCAGGACAAGGGAAAGGGCAAGTGGCAGAACAAGAAAGCTAATGGCGGGGCCAATGCCAACAAGAGCATTGTGCCAGTTATAGAGCCATGTCCTAAGTGTGGAAAGACACATCGTGGCATGTGTTTGCAAGGGAAGAATGTTTGTTTTAGATGTGGCAAGCCAGGGCATATTTTTAAGGATTGCCCCACATTTACACCGGAGAAGGATGATAACAATGACCAGAACCAAAAAGGGAAAGCATGAGTTTTTGCAATGACTCATAAAGATGCAGAGGAAAACTCGAACGTCATAGCAGGTAGTTTATTGATAGCCAATACGCCTGCTTATGTATTGTTTGATTCAGGAGCCATACCCTCCTTTATATCGACAACTTTTATGGCTAAATCTAGTATTCGGAAGGTACATTAGAGGTTAGCATTCCTTCAGGCAACCCTTTGAGTACTGATAGAATAAGCAAATCAGTAAGTATTGAAGTTGAGGGAAAACCAATGGAAGTGAACCTATACATGATAGAAATGAAGGACTTTGATGTAATAATAGTCATGGATTGGTTGGGTTGTAATTACGCCACCATCCGATGTAAGGAAATGGAGGTATCATTTCAGAAACCAAGAGAGGAACCATTTTCATTCCTTGGAATGAAGACGAAACCCCTTATTTGACTAGTATCGGCTTTACAAGCTGAGAAGATGTTGAGAAAAGAAACATGTCAAAGATATTTAGTAAACATCTCAGGAGGGAAACAAGAGACGATAAAGGTTGAAGACGTACCAACAGTATGGGAATTCATAGATGTGTTTCTAGAAGATCTATCCGGTATTCCACCAGATAGGCAAGTGGAATTCACCATAGACCTAATTCTCGGAGCGGCACCAGTGTCAAAAGCCCCATACCGAATGGCCCCGAAGGAACTACAAGAGTTAAAGAAATAGTTGCAAGAACTCCTAGATATGGGCTTTATACGGCCAAGTGTATCTCCATGGGGTGCGCCGGTGTTGTTCGTGAAGAAAAAGGATGGAAGCATGAGGACGTGCATCGATTATAGGGAGTTAAATCGATTAACTATCGATAATAAGTACCCACTCCAAAGAATTGAGGATCTGTTAGATCAACTGAAAGGAGCTAAGGTATTTTCCAAGATTGACTTACGATCGGGATACCACCAATTGAAAGTAAAGTCAAAGGATATACCCAAGATAGCTTTCAAAACTCGTTATGGACATTACGAGTTTACAGTGATGCCGTTTGGGCTCCAAATTCAAGAAGTGTGAGTTTTGGCTTGAACGAGTTAGATTTCTTGGACATATAGTCACTGCCAAGGGATTGAGGTAGATCCAGCGAAAGTGGAAGCAATAACCAACTGGAAAGCACCAACTAATGCTGGCGAGGTACGGAGCTTTCTAGGATTAGCAGGATATTATCGGAGATTCATAGAAGGATTCTCCAAAATAACTGGACCAATGATGTAGCTTACAAGGGAGGGAGTAAAATTTCAATGGACGGATAGATGTGAACAAAGTTTCCAAGAACTTAAATAGAGGTTGATATCAACACCCGTGTTAACAATACCTGAGGGTACAGAAGGGTTTGTTATATACAGTGATGCATCCAAGCAAGGATTAGGATGTGTGCTGATGCAGAATGGAAAAGTGATAGCCTATGCATCAAGACAACTGAAGAAACATGAGTAGAACTACCCGACGCATGATTTAGAACTTGCGGTGGTAGTACACGCCTTGAAGATATGGCAACACTACTTGTATGGAGGGAAGTGTGATATCTACACAGATCACAAGAGTCTCAAATATTTATTCAAACAGAAGGAATTGAATATGCAACAAAGATGATGGTTGGAATTGGTGAATGATTACGATTGCACTATCCATTACCATCCAGGTAAGGCTAATGTTGTGGCCGACGCGTTAAGTAGAAAATCAATGGGACAGTTGGCGTCACTACCAACTTTTCAAATGGAGTTAGTCAAGGACTTGGAAAAGTTGCAGATCGAAGTGGTTACCATACCAGGACAAGTCACTGCTTGTCTAGCAGCTTTGATAATTCAACCTACTCTTAGAGATCGAATTATAGAGACACAAGGTAATGACCCATTCTTGTTGAAGATCAAGAATGAAATTGGCACTGATAAGAGAAAGGATTTTGGAATAGCTTCGGATCAGGCAGTGATGTTTAAGGGGAGAATTTGTGTGCCTAGTGATGAAGCCTTGAGAAACGAGAAATTGAAAGAGGCCCATTCCACCCTATACACCACACATCCCGGTGGTACGAAAATGTATTGAGACCTCCGAGATACATTTCGGTGGAGAAATATGAAAAGAAGAACAGGGTTGTATGTGGAAAAGTGCATGGTATGTCAACAGGTTTAGGTAGAACACTAAAGACCGGCTGGATTGTTAAATCCACTGGACATACCCGAATGGAAATGGGAAAATATCACAATGGACTTTGTGGTTAGATTCCCGAAATCAGCAAGAGGAAACAACAATGTATGGGTAATAGTGGATCGATTAACAAAGTGAGCTCATTTTCTTCCAGTGAAAATGACATTCAGTTTAGACCAATTGGCACAGCTATACATTAAGGAGGTTGTGAGATTACACGACGTACCTGTGTCCACTGTGTCTGACAGAGACCCAAGGTTCACGTCCAAATTTTGGAAAAGTCTACAAGGAGCTATGGGAACGAAGCTGAACTTTAGTACAACATATCACCCTCAGTACGCTGGTCAATCTAAAAGGACCATCCAAACATTGGAAGACATGCTAAGAGCATGTGTTTTGGATCTAGGAGGTAGTTGGGAGTCATACATACCCCTAGTAGAATTCGCATGTAATAACAGCTTCCAAGCAACTATCGGGATGGCACCGTACGAAGCTCTCTATGGTAGAAGATGTAGGTCCCTTGTTCATTGGGATGAAGTAGGGGAGATGAGAGTTTTGGGACCAGAAATAATTAGAAGGACAGTTGAGACAATCGATAAGATCCGTGCAAGGATAAAGGCTGCACAGGATCAACAGAAGAGCTATGCGGATACACGGAGGAAGGATTTAGAATTCAAAGTTGGAGAAAAAGTGTTTCTGAAAGTTGCACCGATGAAAGGTGTACTTAGGTTTGGCAAGAAAGGAAAGCTATGACCCCGCTATATCAGACCATTCGAGATACTTGATAGGGTCGAAAATGTAACCTATCGGTTAGCTCTCCCACCTAGGTTATCGACCCCACACAACGTGTTCCATGTATCAATGATCAAGAAATACATGCATGTTCCTAATCACGTAGTGAACTATCAGTCTGTTGAAGTACAAAAGGACTTATCGTATGAAAATGTACCAATTAGGATATTGGATCGAAAGGTGCATAAACTAAGGAAGAAAGAAATTCAATTAGTCAAAATACAGTGGAATAATCATGAAATAGAAGAGGCCACTGGGGAAGGGGAAGGGGAAGAGGAAGCCAAAAACAAGTATCCAACACTATTCGCCCAATTAGAAGGTAAATTTTGAGGACGAAATTTTAATTAATGTGTGGGGGATGTAGAATCCCAAATAATTTTAAACACCTTAGTGGCACTAAAACATAATTACTGGATGGCTAAAGTATACTTCAGATTTTTAGTCTCATTTGAGACCCATTTACGACGTAGAAAACATTTGATTTGGAAAATGATATCAAAAAAAAGTTGTAGCTCTTTGAGTTAGCTTTCCAATGTACTTTGAATTTCCTCAATTGGATATTCGGAGAAGAAGTTATGATATAAATACTAAAGTATGACAATATCAACCAAAGTACGCGGAATATGAAAAGTCAAATTCCTACACTATTTTCTAGCACCTTCTTAAACCTATAACTCCCACATAAATGACACCCGTATTAATGAGTATTAGGCCCTTCACTTGCCTTAAGCTGTGAGATTTTCACCTATAAATAGGCCCCAATGCATACACATTTTTCACACCAAGACAAAAGCTTCTAAGCATAAAAGAGAGAGTTTTCAAGTCTAGAAAAAGGAGAGGGAGGAAAATTAGTTTTTCCTAGAAATTTTGGTGCTATCAGAAAGTGTTTTCCAAGCATCAATTCTAAATGGAGTGTTTTTTTTTTTAAACATCAAAGGAGTGCATTTTTCAACAAGGTTCAAAGCATCGATTAAGGTAGGTAGAGGTGCAAAGTGTTAATTCGTGTTAAGTTATAAGTTTCTAGCAAATGAAGATTTATGTTAATGTTTGTAGGTCTAATGATACCTCTGGTACGGCATACACCTCCATGTTTAATGGTACCTCCGGGTACGGCATGTACTTTTGGTCGAGGCATCATGTTAAGTCATGACTCTACGTGTTTGGGATTCTACCGGAAATCCTACTATGAAAAGGTTTCTAAAGTTATAGCTTTGAAATGTATAGTTTGATCATGAATGCACCAATGATATCTATTAGTTTTTTAACTCATGGGTTTAACCTCTTCTCTACAGATTGATATGATTCTACCTTGGGTCTGGATGATGGAAAAGATGGAGAGTGGTGCAACGAGCGCATGGAAAAACCAGGTGAACCAGTTATTTAGATTTGTTTTGTGAACGCTTTCAATGTTATTTCTTTAAAGTATTTGAACAGCGCTGAACGCGAGAACAAGTTGTGTTTGCTTCAAATAAATTACGTTCCGTTATCTTTTTATTCAGTGTTTTATTTAAAGTATTCGAAAGGTTGTTAAAATTATCATTGTAAAAATTAAGCTTCCGCTAAAACATATTCTCCTATGACTAAACCACCGGGGGTCGGGGCATTACATTTTCCATCCAATTGACAATGGACAACAATGCAAGTGTCAAACAATGTTTAAAAAGTCAGTGTACGAATAGCAAAGTTCAATCAATAAGAACCCTGCTACATGTACACTATGGTGCGCAATATAGTTTACACTTTACCACTTCACATTACCCGGTTGGATAGTTTAAATTTAAAAAAAAATCTCCACCCAATTGATACTTGACAACAATGCAAGTGTCAACCAACGCGTCAAAAATCAGTGCGCAAATAGCAAAGTTCAATTGGTAAGAACCTTGCTACATGTACACTATGGTGTAAACTTTAGTTTACACTTTGCCACGTGACA